CGCATAAAGATTTAGACTCATCTGCTGGGGCACAAGTAAATAGAGAGTAAACTTTACAATATATTAGACAATAGTAGAAGAAAGACATTTTCAAACTATTTGAGTGTGAATAAACGATCAGGACATTTTGGTTTTTGGGTGAGCTGTCCCTTTGAATATTGTGCTGAATCCTAAGACCCCTGATCAAAGGCTTCATTCCAGTGTTGCGGAGACCTGTCCCATTGTCGTCCCCTAAATTCTCAAAGATGCATATCAATGGCTGTGAGGCTGAGCTTCAGGATCTGCTAGTTTATTGTTCTCTCACCTGTTTCTACAATCATTTTTGCCTCCCCCACTTTATACGACAGTCACCAATTCACATTCTTTTCATTTTTGCTCTTTTTTTGTCGGGCAGAATCTTGTTTTGAGATATGTAGCTGTGATTGAGCACTGTCAGGTTGTCATAAAGCGTTTTGTAGCAGATGTTATTGCACGTTAAAGAGGTCATCATCAGTATGCTAATGTAGTCCTTAATGTTTGCAAAATTTGTTTATCAGATTAAAAGAGAGAAATAAAAGAACAGAAAAAACTTCTGCGGGAGAAAACTAAAATGTTGTTAACATACAGTTCACATGTCTTTAAAATAGTTTTCCTAACATTGAAGTCTTTAAAAATACATTTTCATTGAATCTTTACTGACCCTGATATCTGTTGATTCAAAACTGTCCATAGTTCATAAGTGTTTTTTTATTTATAAGCTTTCAAATTACGTTTTGGGAAATAGATTTCTGTAGATGGTAAAAATGGATATCTTACTTTTATTGATGTTTTGAGTCATTCGAAACAATATATTGTCTGTGGCTGTCAGGGCTTGACATTATCACCTGCCAAATGCGGGTCGATTTCAACTGTTAGCACTCCCACTGGCCACTTTGGCTGGTTAAAGTTTGTTTTTAAATTGTAGTTTTTTTAAAAAGCAGAGTTTTGGGTCAGTGTGAGAGATGATGAAAATAAAAATACCTGTGTTTGCGTGTAGAAATCAGGTATATACTGAATGAGAGGATGAATATGCGTGTGGTGAGACACAGGTGATTCTCACTCGCTGATGAAAGCTTCAGAGTCACACATACAGCTGATGTGATGTACACAAGTGTTTAAAAGTTTTTAAAAGAAATGTTTCCTAGCACGAAGCAAGCGTGCCTGGAAAGGCAACTCGTGTTATTGGTCCACTTTGAAACGCACTGGACAAAAAAACAACACTCGCGCACCCACAGTCCCGCTGCTCTTAAATGCTGGAGATTTTTGTAAATGTCTTTTTTTGTATACAGCAGTGGTTGCTGCTTTTGTTTGACCATTCCTCCAAGAGATTGTTAATGGGCCTAACGTTAAATGTGTGCATGTGATCATCCTTTCATTATCACACACAATGTTTTATCACCTGATTTCTTTTGCTTAGTTATTTTGAGCTAAGAATTGTTTATTTATCTTGGTGTGGTTAGAGAGAAATGAGGCAAATCCTTACTGTTGATCCCTCAAAAGTCACGTGAAATAAAAACTAATTGCTTTTCGACACTGTTTACTCATGCTCATCGAGCAAGCTCATATACAACACACAAAAAGTGAAATCAGGGCTCGCAAAATGTTTAAACCCCTGGTAGCCTGCTACAGGCAGGCACTCTTCAGTTTTTGGTAGCCTGAATCTAAATTTAAGAAGCCCAAATAGAAAATACATTATTTATTAAATTAAAACATGTGAGAGTGACGAGTGTTTGTGTGCTCTTATTTAGTTATTAGAGATGTAACTGTTTATTTATATTGTGAATTTTCTCAAATAAAAAGTGCATTTATTGCTGCCATATCCGCTGCACAGCACATTTTATGATTATAATTTTTTTTAATAAACGTAAAGGCATTAAAATATATTTTTACTCCCACTTGCCCTTCAGGCAGATGGAGATAGATTCTGGTAGCCCGACTGGAAAAAGCAAAGCCCCGGGATGTTGGGAAACCAGATTTTGTGAGCCCTGGATATAAAGGAGGCATGTGGACATAACTCAAAATCTAAATCAAACAATTTTAGAATGCCAAAGTCAAATTTTATGCATATAAAATTAATATATTTTCCCAACAACAAAATTGTGTCTCGAAAAAAAGGCGATTGGCTAGTAATGTTGGAAAACTACTAACCACAGTGGCTGGTGATAAAAAAAGTTAATGTTAAACACTGGTGGCTGTGTACAAAAAAAAAAAAGAAAAGAAAATGAGCATCCAGTAACTTTACTTGTTTATAGTGATATTTCTATATTATTATTTTTTCTTATAACAATAAGTTAACAATAAGTAGTATTAAGTTCTATCATTTTTATTTCAAGTTTATTTGTATAGTGCTTTCCGCAAAAATAATAATAAACGGCAGGGAAACACGGTGGCTCACAGTTAGCACAGTCACCTCACAGCAAGAAGGTTGCTGGTTTAAGTCCTGGCTGGACTAGTTTTCATTTGTTTGTGGAGTTTGCATGTTCTTCCTGTGTTCACGTGGGTTTCCTCTGGGTGCTTCGGTTACGCCACAGTCCATGCGCTATAGGTGAATGAAATAAACTAAATTGGCTGTAGTGTATGAGTGCGAGTATGAATGAGTGTGTATTGGTTTTTGGCTGGAAGGGCATCCACTGCGTAAGTCATATGCTGGAATAGTTGATGGTTCATTCCGCTGTGGCGACCTCTGAAATAGAGACTAAGCCAAAAGGAAATGGATGAATGAATAAATACAAAAAATAATGGACATAATCTTTATTGCACATAATTTACTTTTAACTTTAATAATTTTGATATGTGCACAAAAAGTACTATACGTTTGAAAACAGTGTGTAAATGCAGGGAAGCAGCTGTTTTCTCATGTTTTCCAGAGGTGAGTAACCTCAGTGAGTCTCTCAGCAGTGTGGGAACACTCCAGGGTAAATAGCGCAGACTCTTCAGAATGACTTCCCATAAACACTAAAACAAAAGAAGAGCTTCTGGCTATCACCGCTCAGCGTCTGCTCAGTGTAAAGCCTGAGATCCACTTCAGCTTTCTTTTGTGCTGCCGTGTGTTTCTTAGCCTTGCAAGGTGCTCGCTCGCCATTTGTTTTTACAAGAAAGCACTTTGAGTCTGGAAAAGCTCAGTATTATTACTGAGTTAATGTTGACAAAGAGTCATAATTTGATTGTGAGATCATGGGATAATCTTATTGCTAATATATATTACTTGTGCTGCTTCTTTGCCCTTTGAATTGCCGCTGTAAACTCTGTTGTTGTCAGTAGCTACGTTTCCATCCACCTATTTTTATGTGCAGTTTAGATATGCGCATAAAACACAGTTGATGGAAACAGCAAGATGTGCATCAGTTTTGAAAAACGCTTGAATAGGCAAAATTGAATAGGATAAACTTTTTATTTGATAAGAAAAGATGCGCATAAACTACGGTGGAAACACTTTCATCGAACAAATTCCAGTATGCACATTAAAGAAGTCATGTGATATTTTATAAGAGATCATGTGGTGATGAAAATGTGTGTAAATGGACAAACCAGCAGGCTGAGCAAATTGTAAAACATCTGAAATATTGTTTTGGTCAAAATTCCTTTACTGTTTCAGTATTAGTGTTATTATATTATTAATGACCTCCAGAATTGTCAAAAGTATCTGTGCTCCACATCTTGACACCTTTAAATGCCATCACATGTTCGACATGTCTTTTATTAAATAAATAAAAGATTCAGTCAGCTTCTCCTACCTCAGCAAATTCCGTTTTTATTGTTGATATTTGGTGGCAGTTAATCAGGAAGTGACGATTTTGTTCTCTTTGACCCGTTGGATGGAAACGCTGGTTTATTCGCACAACTTTTACGCGATAATTTAGTTTTGTGCAAAAATATAATTTGCATCTTTGGATGGAAACATAGCTATTGTCAGCACTAATAATGATTAAAGTATTTGATCTGACCAAAAAAAAAATTGTTTTAATAATTCAATCATATTAACCGTAATAGTGGATTACATCAAGTACAATAATAAACTAGGAAAATGATATATAAATAAATTAAAATCAAATAAAAATAAGATTAAAAAAACAGGGTACAGAGGCAAACTATCAAATTAAATAATATTTACAAAGTCCTTATAAAATCTCACAGTTTTTACACTTTTTTTGCTGTAAACATTTTGTAAAGTAGTAATTAAACAATTTAAGTCACAAAGATAATTCTGCAAATTAGTTAACGATGGAGAAGAAAATTTGATTGTGATGAGTGACGTGGCATTAAGTCTTCTTGGTAGAACTACCACTAAAGGTACATGGAAATTATATTTAACCACAAAACAAGTTCCCTTGTGGATCAAATAAATCTCAAAGGTAATTAATATCTTTTTCAGGCCAATTCTTTAAAAAAAAATCGATTTATTCTTTACTAAGATACTTTCGTTGTTCCATAGCTTCATGGAACATAATTTCCATGCCAAAAGAGCCTGTTCATGAAATTTAGAGACTTTTATAGGGAGTTTGGATGGAGAAAAACTACAAGTTAACAAAAATTTGAGACCTCCAATCTTTTTATATATATTATGTGGGATAAAGGACCAAATCGAATCTGGGCAGTTAACACTATTTTTAATACAATTTACTTTGAAAGTGTAAAAAAATAAATATCTTGCATCTGTTTTTATCTTCTGAGGCTGATGACATCATTTGATTCTTTCTCCAGGGAATGCAGTGCAGTACTGAATGAAGGAACACAAGGAACATGGACTGGACCATCACATGGGATCATAATGGATTTTTATTTGTTCATTCGTTTTTATTTACCGAATCTCTGTAAAAGCAAAGACGCAACTTTCTCCTGTCTTTAAATTTGAATTATTGCACAGATCCAATTGGCAGTTCAACAGGCTGAAAGATTCTTGTTTCTGTTACAAACACATCGGCTTCTAAAGTCTTCTGGTAAGGCTGACACTGAGTTGGCTGTTGCGTGGAGCTGCAGCTATGTACATTGAGGCGAGGCATGGTCCTTTCTCCCCAGCGACCTCACCATGCTGAACAATGTTTTCGACGTGTTGTACATGATTCTGGAGCTGCTGATTGCCCTGCTCTCTGTCCTGGGCAACGTGCTGGTCTGCTGGGCAGTGGGCCTCAACAGCAACCTCCAGAGCATCACCAACTTCTTTGTTGTTTCACTGGCCGTGGCGGACATCGCGGTGGGTGTGCTGGCCATCCCCTTTTCCATCGTCATCAGTACCGGTTTCTGTGCAAATTTCTATGGTTGCCTGTTCATCGCCTGCTTCGTCCTCGTGCTGACCCAGAGCTCCATATTTAGTCTTCTGGCCATCGCCATTGACCGATACATTGCCATCAAAATCCCGCTTAGGTGAGTGAAGGGTGTTTCTGCGAGTTGTTGATTGTATTTTATATGTGTTGAATGTGGTTTTGATTACATTTTGTGGTTCATATTTTTCATATCACCTCAGGGAAATACTTCTGCCTGTTCTGACACTTGCTTAAAGTCCCCAGTGAGGCTTTTAACCAGCTTAATGAGGATTCTGCTTTCTGGTTGAACTGCATTTTTGGATCACCAAACCAGCTAGACAAGCATAAGTGCACGTTTAAACCAGCCTTTGTTGCTTTCCTGTTTTTTTTTTTGAGTTGACCTTGGTAAAAAGTGACCTAAATCTAAAATTCAATAAAAAAATTCTAAGCTAATTTAAAAATCTGATAGGGACGGCACCTAAGAGTAAAACACCAATTTAGTCTGAGTGAAATTAAAATGTTTAATGTTTATTTTGCCAATGCACATTGTTATTTTTTAGGTGTAAAAAGTTTTTTTTGGTAACTTTCAATTAAAGTCTGACCATTTGCTTCCACGTTTGGAGTGGTGGTCCTTCTCCTGTTGACGTGAGTTTAATGGCTTCAGCTACAATTTTCTACACTCTGCCCCTTTTACAGTTTACTATGAGTCAATGATGATGCACTATAAGAAAGCCCCGTCACCTAATCAATATTTCATTTCCGTTGGAAGTACATCATCATACTGAAATAACACTGCAAAAGTCGCTGCAACTTCCGGTTCACACATGGACTTTAAGCTGTTGTTTATAGCAGGAAACCGGCTAGAGCCAGTTAAAAGATGGAAGATCAGCTAAGAGCAACAAACAAACAGGGTGGCTTATTTTTATAAGCTGTTCTCACTGAAATAGTAACTAAAACCCTTTATAGCCCCTTTCACACATACAGACCTTTGCGGAAAATTACCGGCAATTTATTGTAAAGGAATAATGTGTGAACAGGATTTGTTCAGGCAATTTTTAGGAAAGAGAACTTGTAAAATTACCGATAATTTACTGGAAGGCTGTGATGTGTAAACGCAAAAGGAACATTGCCGGAAAGAGTGCGTTCACGATTATAACGTCTACTCCAACCAATCAGAACATTCAGACGCATTCACATAACGTTTCTATTTTCCTTTTTATTGCCTACTGTGTTAAAAATTATCATTAAAATGCTTATGTGCTTCAGCTGCTTGACGTCTGTGCACGTGAAGGAGTCCATGTAGGCCAACACACACACATATTGGGCCTGTTTCAGAAAGGAGGTTAAGTGAAAATTCAGAGTATTTTAACCCGGAAATAAGAGAAATTCTGGGTTTTCTATTTCAGAATGGCAGGTTTGTTAAACTGGAGAAAGCAGGGTAAGTCAAGACTGTTTCTGAAAGAGAGGTAACTTTAACTCAGAGTTATTTACTGTGGTAACTTACTCTGTGAATCTAACCTGGTCAGGAGCAGGTTTTATTCTCTAAACTCTGAGTTTCTCTCGGTCCCGTCCCCTTTTTTAAAGATGAAGCGGTATTTCTCGCCTTAGCCTTACGTTTCCACCTACCTATTTTAATGCTCATTTTGGGGATGCGCATAAAAACAATGGGTGGAAACGTCATGATTCACATAACTTTTGAAAATACGCATAAAAAACATGCGTATAACTGAGTAGGATAAACTTTTATTCGATAGAAATGTGCCTATATTACGATAAAAACACTTTTACTAAAATTAATGTGCATAAAAAAAGGTTTGTTAAAATAAGATAAGAGATTATATGATGATGAAAATGTGATTGGACAAACCAGCTGGCTGAGCACACTAAAACATCTTAAATGTTTTGGTCATTCTAAAATGCCTTAACCGTTTCAGTATTAATGTTATTATATTATTAATGACCTCCAGAGCGCCTGGAGCATGTTAAGAACATCTGTTCTCCACGTCTCATGGCTTCAAATGGCCCCACGTGTTCATTGTGTGTCGGCATTGTCTTCTGAGGCGCAAGTACATTTATTAAATAAAGAAAAGATTGACGAAGCTTCTTCTACTGCAGTAAAGTCTGTTTTTACTGTTGATATTTGGTACATGTTTAATCAAGAAGTTATGATTTTGTTCTATTGGACTTGTTGGATGGAAACGCTGCTTTATTCGCTTAGCTTTTATGCGATTTTCCAGTTTTGTACATGAATTTAATTAATATTTGGATGGAAACAGCTACTGCCTACATTTCAGTCACACAAAGAACAACGTCACGTACGAGAATGGCTTGTCCTTATTTAATAAATAATTAGCTTTAAATTCACTGACCTTTAACAGGGACATGTACTGTTAATAGATTAATGGGATTATTATTGTTTCTAAAAACAATTGTTTAGTTTCGCTTACATTCTTAATGTCATATCAACCTCTATCACTTGATCAATAAAAAAGGCAGACACAAGTGCATTTTTACATCTATTAAACTGATCAACGTGTATAAAATTGGGAACGTGTAACATTTTTTATATGAAAAGTCACACATAACGTTACTCATTTTAATATTCTTAAATACTTAAATACTTTAAATGTAAAATTATGCATTAACTTGAGCAGCTGTTTTCCCACGCTTACTGTCTCTGTTTCACTGATGCAGTGGTGTTGCTTTTTTCAAATATACACTCATATTTGCGATAACTTTGCATGAGCACATCAAGTTCAGCTGGAGAAAGAAATGGTGATCTCTTTTTAAGATGTTGCCATAGTCACTCATAATGTCTGCGCTTTTTATGATAATGCCTTTTTATAGTTGTGGTGTGCGCGCTTAACTCTGAGTTAGTCTACTCAAAGTTGATTGACCTAACTCAGACCCGCTATTCTGAAACTGAAAACTCTGAGTTTTAAATCTCTCGCTGAATCAACTCAGAGTTTAAGTTTAAACGCCGAGTTGGTTGAACCTCCTTACTGAAACAGGCCCATTATGTACCATCAACCATCAACAAAAGCCCAACCCCTTCTATGTTTACAAATACAAGCGCAGCCGTTTAGAGGTCATTTCAGGTTAATGGTGTCAGAATTTACCAGTATTTTGGAATGGATGTGTGAATGGTCTTTTGCGGAAAAATTCAGCAAAGTCCTTGCCTGTGTGAACATTGCTTTTTTTTATTTAACGGTAGAGTCATTCCGTTAATTTTCCTAATATTTACCGATATCACTGTGTGAAAGTGGCTTATAATCATCTTTATCAGGCTGGAACATCGACTGACATGGAACATCGACTGACACCTTTTTAGACCGGCTTCAATGATTTTCAGCAATAAAACAAGCTTGAGCCAGTATGGAGATACATGCTGGTTTAAGATGATCCTTTAGCAAGTCTTTAACTACAAAATGACTGAACCTCCTATAAATTTAGCCTGGGAAGATGGGTAAGACAAGCAAACCAGCCTAGACTGCTTCAATGTTTTTTTTCATTAGGGAAACTATTATGAAAATTCAGGGCAGTTTAATCTGGCCTTCAGCTGCTCTAGCTGAAATGTGACTGAAATCCCAGTAAATCCTTTAACACAAGCAGGCTAGCAGATCAATGAAAACAAGCTAACTAACTTAAATATTATTGTTTTACACATGAGATTATTGCTGGTTAAAGGTGGTCTTCAGCTGGTCTTGCTGAAATGTAACCAAATCCCCTTGATAACCAGCCTAACCAAACTCCCCAGCAAACCAGCATAGGCTTCCTTAAAGGGCTATTAACCTCCCCGCTTCTGTCTCAGCAGGGCGTTTTTCACATCTCTAGTTTAAAAAAAGTCTGGAAAATGGGTGAGTTTTTCATAAAGGATTAATTAATACTCATTGTACTCATTTTGTACGTGACGATGTATGTGTATACAAAAAATATGTATGAAACTTGCGGACTTCAGTATGCAAAGACTGTATGTCTTAAAAACTGAAAGAGTACTGCTGACGATTCTAACTAACTTTGCCATCTGAATAAACATACAACAAAGAACACTGATCACACACTTACCAAATTCGTAGAGACAGGACACCAACTTAAGCTGAAACCGCGTCTTTTCTTAAAAGAAGACGAGCAGCAAATCCAGATTTTACCAATTCCAGATATGAAAAGCTCTCAGGTTAAATTTTTCCTTACAAAAGTATTTTTGACGCATGTTAGCAGACCACTGTAATTCAACTGCTTAGGTCTCCATGTGAGCTGTGCTTTATCACGAGGAAATGGAAACAAAATTTTTGTTTTGGCACATTTATAAACACAACACTAACGAGCCATGTCTTCAACACTGACGACCCATGTCTTCAATTCTTCTCTTACTTGTTTGAATTACAGTTGGCAACACATTGTGGCACCTCTCTGAACACTGTAACAGGTTAATGAAGTTGTTTCCGGAAGAACAAATTTGCTCAAAACAACGTAAAACAACCAATTATTATTTATTAGCTAATTATATGTGTCCTAATAGTGTTTTTTAGCAACGTGAGACATATATATGACTGTCAACATCTCAAAAAAAATGTGTTTTGGTGTTTCGTGATCCTTTAAGATGTGCTTCCTAAAAAAGGGAAACCACCTTTAGCCAATGTGGAGATTGGTGCTGGTTAAAACTGGTCCTTTCTGGAACCACACATGGCACTGTTTCCCTTTGTCAGGCCAACATGAAGTTAATGTATGGTCCCATTATAAGGACACACTGTGTCTCTCCAGTAGACATCAGATTTTTGGGCTATTTTTGGGAGAATATAATTTAGCAAGAATAAAGCAAGATCTCCGCTGGATCTTTTGATTTTGAGGTCATCTTTGAACATAGTAAGCCCTTTAAGATCTGATTTACTCTGGAATGTTTTTGCTAATAGTTTAAACATATTTCCTCAACAAGTGTTCCTTTCAGTTTTTGTCTTTTATACGTGCTAGTTTTTTCAGTTAAACTATATTCAAAATACCCGGCTAACATGCTAATGGAGACTGGGTGAATATTGGGCTAATAGTATCTTGGTCTGCTTTGGAATAGTCAGTTCTGCTGGTGTTAGAGAGATATTGTGATAGACCACGTGTGTGTGTGTGTGTGTCCACGTCCTGTCAGCAGGTTTGGGGTGGGGGATGATAATGTTTTCTCATTGTGGCTCATTGAACTTCCACATCTGGAGAATGAGACAAATAGAAGCCAAGGAACTCAGCTGTTCTCCCACACTGGCCCAAAACCAGACTCTGAAAATAGATTTCTGTTCCAAACGCTGACATTTCTGAGCACATTCTTGCTTTTTAAGTGCTCCAATGGGAGAGTTTGCTGGAAATACTGTGAATGGATGCTAGGATCATTAGCACTGTAGTCGTGTCAGGGCTGTTCTAATGCAGTGCTCGCATTGTGCCAGAATTACCATAATTATGTGGAAATATCTGAGCTATTTTTTATTTTAAAATGATAAAAAAACAAAGCATACAAGGTAAAAAAGTGATAGAAATACCCAGAATTGTTTGAAATATTTAATATACTTAAGTTGTGATTATGGATATATTTTGAGAAACACTGTAAACTAGCAATTACAAGATAAAACTTGTTCATTACGAGACATAAAATAGCCATTTTAGAGTTCCTGTGAAGTCAAATAAAATGCGATTTTTAGAAGTTAGTATCATTATGTTAACCTGAAGAATATTTATAAACTCCAAAACAGTGCAAAAGTCACAATAAGAAGATATAAACATATTGTCACTTCAGCCTAAAAAGATCAATGATTATTTTGACATCACCTCATCCTTCAGTTTCTTATTAAACCTTCCGGACACAATAGCTATATGCGCTAGAGCTCAACAACTCTCACTTACAGAGCTGTGATATAAATTATTGCTATTGTCCTTGTCGTCATGTTTCAGTTAAAATAACATTACACATCGAACAAAACATTGCAAAGCACTTTTGTTAGATATTAAAGCCAGCGTGAACCGGAAGTTGCTGAGACTTATCTTTCAGTATGTTGATGTACTTCCAACTGAAACAGAATATTGAATAGGGGACGGGGCTTTCATTTTGGTGCATCATTCACTCATAGCAAACCAACGGCATGAGAGTGTATGCAGTTGCTATAGAAGCGCTCAGATTGACGTCAACAGAAGAACCGACAATCCAAAAATGGAAATAGTTCATAACCACAAACTATTTTTTTCAGTGGAGTAACTTTTATTAATTACCAATTCTAAAGGTAATTACAGATTAATTACCTTAAGAATAATAATGTGGGCTAGCAAAATACATTGTACATTTTGATTTCACGCAGTTAGATAAATATAAATACATTGCATTATTAGATATAAAGTCACAGTTGCAACTAATAAAAATGCAACTATGTGACAGAGAGACAAAGATTCTGACGGTATGATAACCTTGGATAAAAATATCACGATTTCACAGAATCATGATTATCGCTCTAAAATGTTCTTTTTAAATGTCTGGGTAAAAAACAAAAACTTTGTCCATTTTGAACACAGTATATTTCATTTTGAGAAACATTTTAAATATTTTGAAGCAGTAAACCTGTCGGGCTAAATGAATCATTGACTTCTGCGGTCTTCATTTGTTTAATTTTAAATTTAAAACAGCATCTTTTCTGCTGGAGATATTGATGTTCTAAAAACAAAACAAAACAAAAAAAAGTAAATAAAAAATCGAACACATACCTTAGGAACAGTATTGCAAAAACTTTGGACGTTTTAAAACCCTGACTTTTCCAAACCGCATTATACCTTGAAAACGGTTATCATCCCATGTAGGGGTGTAACGATATTAAAACCGAATCGAAAAATCTCGATACACCAACCACGTTACGTATTGCGAAACTCTCGTGGCGTACCGCGGTACTCTCACGACCCCTGCTGCCCATTGTTGAGGTTGACGTCACTTGTCTCTAACTAATTGAACCAATTTAAACACATCTTTATTATCACATTTGATTAAATTGTTTTAGTAATGATGAGGTTTTGTTCTAAGTATTATATTCTAAAGTTAGTATTTTAGTGCACATCATGTCATGTGACTTGAGTGAGCATCACACTCATTACTACTGAACGCAGGATGGCTGCTTCACATAGTACTGAGATTGCAGATCCCCCAGACACATTTAAGTCATCTGTGTGGAAACATTTTGGTTTTCCAGTTGAGTACAGGAATAGAATTTGTGTCGTAGACAAAGCGCACGCCTGTCTGTCTTAACTGTTCCACGAAACTTACTTACAAGAAAAAACATTTAAAAAGTGGGGTAATTTCACAATGTAAGGGAAATCAAAAATTGTAGGAAGGCGGACCTACATAAATGACCGGCATAGAGGGAGCGGAAGAGAGAGAGAGATCGGGAGGCAAACATACAGCCGGCTACAACCCTAACATTAGTTTCAGACACAACTGCAATGTATTTTACTGGTGAATGTGTCATGTAAAAACACTTTACAAACACATTATATGTATATTTTTCATTAATTTAAACGGAAACCTATCTATCTAAATGAAACCATATAATCAAAAATGAGCGTCTGTGTCTGCACAGTGATCAATCAAGCCTCTCATCTGAGAATGTGGATATTATGGTGTTTTTGAAGAAGATCTTTCACTAGTCTACACTGCAGTTATTTATTTAATTTTAGTTTACTTCGTTAAGATGGCTGCACTAAAGAGAATAGTTTTTTTTTTCTGACTAGTCTATATTGGAGGTATTTATTTAATTGTAGTTGTTTACTCGGTTATCCTGACTGTACTAAAAATGTGATGACAAAGTTAATAAAGAAAAACTTAAGATGTTCTTGTTATTAAGTGAATTGTCCCTTAGCATTGCTGTTAACATGACATCAACCCTAACCCCACAGCAAACAGAAACCGAACCGAACCGTGGCTCCAAAACCGTGAACCGAACCGAACCGTGCCTTTGGTGTATCGTTACACCCCTAGTCCCATGCCTAGACAGAGCGGGCCTCAACTCGCTCTGGTGGGGAAAACTGGGTTCGGCTTGATAGCACCTAATTCAGTTGCAATTATTGAAGTAAGATGGGAAAGTAATTGTATGTATGGCCATACACCCAAAGCGCTTCCACTTGGATGATGCAACGGCAGCCAGTGCGCTCACTACACACCAGCTATTGGTAGAGTAGAAAGACTGATACAGACGATTCAGTGGATGGGAATGATTGGGAAGCCATGATGGGTAAGGGCTGATGACAAGAATTTTGGCCAGGACACCGGGGTTACAACTCTACTCTTTTGGTATTTTTAATGACCACAGAGAGTCAGGACCTCAGTTTAACTTCTCATCCGAAAGACAGCGCTCACTGACAGTATAGTGTCCCCTTCACTATACTGGGGCGTAAGGACCCACACAGACCGCAGGTTAAGTGCTCCTGCTGGCATCACTAACACCAATTCCAACAACAACCTAGTGCTCCCATGTGGTCTCCCATCCAGGTACTAACCAGGCTCAGCACTGCTTAGCTTCAGTGAGTAATCGGTCTTGGGCTGCAGGGTCATATGTATATAACAGCTGTGATTATAAATTGAGAATTGAAAATATGCAGTAAGAAGACTGAGAAAAACATTAAAGGTGTTTCTATAGGAAATTGATGATTGCATAACTCCAGCATGACGTGAACTGTTTTAAAGAGGTGTTCAGGTTTACAGCCATGCTGCCATTTGTTTACTTGTGTCAGTACTTTGAACCTTTTAGATGTGCAGTCTAGACAATGTGGAACAAACATTTATGGTCAGGGAGTTAAAAAAAAACATGCTTCTTCTTTCAACATAATTTCCTTTCACTCTTCCAGGTACAACAGCCTAGTAACCGGGCAGCGCGCCAGAGGCATCATCGCGATCTGCTGGGTCCTGTCAGTTATCATCGGTCTAACACCCATGCTGGGCTGGCACAAAGCCCGCTTACAAGAGGGCCACAATGGCACTTGCCCACCCGGCATGATGGAGTGTTTGTTTGAGGAGGTGGTGGTCATGGACTACATGGTCTACTTCAACTTCTTCGCCTGCGTTCTGGTGCCTCTGCTCCTCATGCTGGCCATTTATCTACGCATCTTCATGGCTGCTCGCCACCAACTTAAATGCATCGAGTCCAAAGCCATCCCATGTGAACTCAAGTCCCGCTCCACCCTACAGAAAGAAGTCCATGCGGCGAAATCGCTAGCCATCATCGTTGGTTTGTTCGCCGTTTGTTGGTTGCCCCTTCACATCATCAACTGTTTCACTCTGTTCTGCCCTGAATGTGAACGGCCGCCGGCTCTGATCATGTATCTGGCTATAATCCTCTCACACGCAAACTCAGTGGTCAATCCCTTTATTTACGCCTACAGAATACGAGAGTTCAGACACACTTTCCGGAAGATCGTCCGCTATCATATTTTGGGCAGAAGGGAGCCTCTTTCATGCAACGGAAGCACTCGTACTTCAACCCGAACGAGCGTAGCGGATTCGCTCCGGATTAAAGTCAACGGTCTGGTGCGCGAACTGTACGCCGAGCAGAGCAGCACCACGAGCAGCTGCGAAAGTGCTGAACCCGGACATACACACAGGCCAGTAAGCACTGAAAACTCCATTTTAGACAACCAGCCAATAGAAATCAGTAATTCCCACAGACACACGGCACTGAGGCATCCGGAGTCGCCGCTCACTGGGAATAATGAGGGCCTTGCGTGCAGGAAGCATGCTGGATTAGACATTACGGATGGGAAGGATTTGTCCTCGCCGCTTCATATTAAATCAGCTCTGTATGTACAGACAGCTCACTGTGTTGAACTCACGGAGGTTTCCTGATGAATGATACTCTCTTATTGGTGGATTTGAATGATTATTTATTTGCTGCTCAAAGAACAGTAGGCTGAAATATGAAAGATGAGTATTTTTCGATGTCACATGTTTGTGGACCTTTTAAAGCTCAGGACTGAGTACAGTTTGATGTTGTAATGTAATAATGTATGTGAAACATATTAAAGAGCAAGACATGGCTGACTGAAATGAAATTTCACAGAGATTTACTGTAATTTTTCAAACAAAATCAAAGCTTTTCATGCACTTTGGCCATTCATTTACATGAAAACCTTGTTTTGGGTATGACAACACAAACTTTTGACAATTATTTCAAAGTGCAAAGTTTTGTAATTAGTAATTTATTGTCTGTGTGTGCAGGTTTGTCAAAATGGTGATGTCATGTATGTCCACATGTTCAGTCTATAGTCAGTGTAATTATTTGACAACCAAAACAACAATGGCATAGAGCCATATATGTATGTGCAGATTCATAGTGTTGTAATTATTGGTCATTTGAGCATATCAATATGAACAGTAATCCTTTTAACAACACTGTTGTCTGGATTAGAATTTTCTCAAAATGTTCAATCTTTCTGGTTTTTGGTGTACTGCCGTTGTCTAAATGTACCCTAAAATAATCTCCCATGAGTTGTCATTTGAATTGATCACAGGATGTGTGAAGGACCCTTTTCACAAGACTGTTATGACGCGTTTAACGGTCATCATAATCTTAAATCCTTAAAAGGTGTAAATATTTAGATTTTTTACATTTATATTCATTTACAAATGTGTTATATCCTCTTTTGTGTTAAATTACAAAAAGCAAATGCAGCGTTTATGGGGCTGAGAGTAAATTTGACGTAATTCTCTTTTCTGACTGCCGTTATCAGTCTCACACAATTTTTTTTTCCCTTTTTCTGAAAGTCTTGATAACACCATTATCTTTTATTGTTTCAGTAAATAGGATTGTAAAAAAAATTGTTGTACTCTCCAATTCACTGCCCTCTGAGTTTACCCAACTATGATGACTTTCGCTACTGAGTAATGTGAAAAGGGTCTATTAGACTTTAGTACGGCGTATATTTCAATTTGGACTATTTACTATTAATTCCCATACATTTAATGAGGAGTGCATTTTAAACTGGAGGTTGATTTATTTTTACAATAACCTCTTAAAAAAGGCTATTTTGATTTCTCTTGTCATGATCTCTTTTTTCAATTTAATCTAAATATACCTAGGAATAGCTGAATAATAGGAGTTTAGTACATGGGAATGAATTAAATGCCTCAAACACCATTGTTTCCTTGTTCTCATGTATAAACTCTGAGTATTATAAACAGGCCAATTGGAACAAAACCCAGATTCTGACAATCCACATACAATCATTAATATTTATTATCTAGTGAGATTACAACAATGATTGTTATGTTCCTTATTTTTAAGTTTATCTAAGCTTGTAATAAACATACTATGTATGTGGTACTCTTATTTGAGGATGGGAGAGGCAGGAGTAGTAAAGGAGTAGTACTGTGAAGCAGGCAGCCATGTGTCTCAGTTGTTTACAGCTTGTCAGGATGCAAGATGCGAGATTTATTTCCTTCAGCTTAGTCTTTTAAATATATGTTTTACGCAGCAGATCAAAATGGAAAATCTACAGATTAAACATTTATTCAGCACCACCCCTGAATTTATCTTTTGATATGTTTATCGTGTGTATTGTGAAAGGTTAACTGCTGATTATAAGTGTTTAATGCATGTTTATGCATCTTGTCATATCACTCAGCTCTTACTGTCAATTTTCTTGAGTGAAAGATCTAACTCGTCTGTTGTTTATGAAGAGATTGATATTAATTCCCGCCCTGGTTTTCATACATGTTAAAACTGCAAAATACATCTCAAAATCTTTCACTGTTGCACTGTAAAACCCAAAGAGTTGAGGTAACTCAATTTAACCTTTTGAGGGAACCGATTGCAACAAACTATTTAAGTTCAAAAACTAATCCTAATGAGTACTGTGAACTTAATCTATTTGAGTAAACAAAGCAATTTAAGCAGAGTAAAACCCAATAAATGAAGAGAACTCAAACCAACTGAGTACTGTAAAACCCAGTAAGTTAAGGCAACTCAAACCGTTTGAGAAAACCAATGGCTACAAACCATTTGAGTTAAAAACTAATCTATGAGTACTGTGAACTTACTCCATTTCAGTTGAAGTAAGGAGGTATTTAATTAACCCATTACCTTCCACACTGAGTTCAAAACTTTTCAAATTAGTAACTTTCTGTCAGTTTTGAGTTAACTACAATCATTTCATTTGATTAAGTTGAATGTTGGGTTTTACAGTCTATCAATATGCAAAATAAACAATACTTTGAAACAAAAATTAACTACAATGGTTTTGCTGGAAATTTTTTTAGGTTACATTAACCCGAGGCTTAACCTTATTGCTTAAATATTTAACATAAAGCTATAAGTAAACAAATTGGCCAAGTATAATATAGCTTAAAGACCAGTCTTTAAAATGATTTCATTCCAAACACAGCCTCCAGACGCAGACACATCAAGTGTTCATCCCGGGAGAGTCCATCTCTTGGGCTCTTGTGCTTGATCACACGCTGAAGGGTCTGATGAATCCTAACATTGTGTTTTTCCCAGCCTATCCCGCAAGTCCCCAAAGATTTCAGGTTAAAGGGTGCACTAGTACATCTCAAGAGATTTCTTGAGTATTTTAGGGTAGCATTCATCTGAACTGAACTAAACATATGATGTATCAAAGAGTGTCAAACCAAACGCAAAGAAAAAAATATACGTGTGTATATTTAAAACCCAACTACACTGTAAAAAATGTTTGGTTCCACACAATCTGTATTGTAACAACATGAATTAAGTTCACTTTTAAGTTAATTTAGTTATGACAGTACATGTATTAGGTTCATTGTCACTTCTTAAAATAAGTTAATCATGTTATAACTTAATTTTATAAGTTATGTTTTAAGTCAGTTTAACATCATATAAGTTCAATGTACTTTTAAAGTTCATTTGATTCAGCTTAAAAATTTAAGGCAACTAGGATTTGTTTACAGTGTACACATTTAAGTGGATTAAAAAAATAAAACTATTAAATTGTCGCCAAAAAAACCCTCAAGAATTGTGCAGTTTCAGCTAATTTTTATAAGCAGTTTGAACAAACAGCAAACCTTTTTTTTTTTTGAGTGTACGGATAACAAATATACTTTAATTTAACAATTTATTTTGCATTTTACCTCAAACAACACTCACAACCACTGTGTTTATGGATGAAAAAATCTAGAGAGGATACATTTGATTCAGATTGACTCATTTGCAGGCAGACTACAGCCTGATTTGATTTGAAATGATTCACTGCATCACTGTAATCCAGCTCGAGTAATTCCAAACAAAAGCACATTGTGCTGGGAAACAAAAGGACATTAAATGAACCCATGTTGCAGCTAAAAATACAGTATTCACACCCATCTTCTTAATGAATTCTGATTACAACTTGGAGTATTTCAAAGTCTGAACAATAGCAGTTTGCTTTTCAGACTTACAGTATTCATGCTTTAATGACTATTTGTATCTATGGGCCTTACAGAGTTGGATCACCCAAAAATGAAAATGTAGTCACTATTTACTCAAAGCTAAGTGGTTCTTCTGGAGCTATTTCATTGTAAGTAAACAGTTAAACTACCAGTAATATATGTTTATTATTATTATTAATATTTACAAAAGACAAAATAAATAGTATACATTAGCAGCAAATATATTAGCAAACTCTTCAGCTTATTAAAATGAATAGCTATTATAAAGAAATAGAATCAAGTTATCAAATCTCATTAATCTTTTCTTAACTGTATAACTTACAGATTCTGATTAAAGAGCAGTGAATGAATCTCATTTATTTGGATTTTTCGTTTGATTACATTAAATAACAGAGGTGTCACTTTGAAAATGCACACATCTAACGTTATAATAAAAGTATTCGATTGCTTTCCTTACTGTTTATGTTCATTTAGGACAAAATTAGTTGCGTTTAAAAAAAAAAAAACACCAAGATCGTCATCTTAAGATGTTGTTATTATTATTAATAATGTGTATATATCTGCTCAGACACACACTCAAAACCCAGACTTTCGCTCTGCTTCAAATCACGTGTACAGAATCCGTTTGCGAAACAGCGTCTATTTATCACTATGAAGCGTGTCAGCTGACAGTCACGCACCGATATATAACTGTTTTGAGGATTGCATAGGAGGGGCGATGGCACATGTAATGAAAAGGAAGGGAATCCCGCCATTTTTATATTTATTTCAAAGTGTTTTTATGCCTTAATAAAACAAAAGCATTTAAGAGCCGGGGGGGTGGGGCCTGGTGGTTTGGCCGTATGGGTTGCGCATAGGGAGGATCGGCTCTTTATTGTTTATTGCCACCCTTCATAGAAAGATTGAAAATATGTGAGAAACACGGAGAAAATACCTTTATGGGATGATAGCGGGATAGAACTGTAAAATTCTAGAGAATCCCCGGGAAAAACAGGACGATTGACAGGTATGAAAAGAAGATATTTTGAAGAGTGTTGGAAACCAGTAAACATTAACTTCCGTGGTAGGAAAAAACAAATACTATGTACAGTTAGCCCCTTTTCATTTTATTTTCTTTTTTTAAAAATTCCCAAATGATGTTTAACAGAGCAAGAAAATTTTCACAGTCTGAAAACTTCTGGAGAAAGTCTTATTTGTTTTATTTTGGCTAGAATAAAAGCAGTTTTTATTTAAAAACAAAAAAACATTTTAAGGTCAAAATTATTTGCCCTTTTGAGCTATATATATTTTTTTTGACAGTCTACAGAACAAACCATTGTTATACAATTACTTGCCTAATTACCCTAACCTGCCTAGTTAACCTAATTAACCTAGTTAAACCTTTAAATGTCACTTTAAGTTGTATAAAAGTGTCTTGAAAAATATCTAGTAAAATATTATGTACT